GCCGATCACCGACTTCAAGCTTGTCATCTAAATTGTTTGATCATTAGTTTTTTTTTACATTAATTTAATTACGTTGTAAATTTTTTTATTACTTATTTCTAAATGTAATCCTGATTTCCGAGAGTCCGGCCACGTCACTTGCAACAAAGAATCCTCAGGACCATCTGGAGTCGGGTTTCTGAAGAAAAATTGTTTTTAATAATCGTAACAATCAATAACCAGTTTTTAATCTTTGGTAATATTTTGTACCCGTATTTAGCGAAATTACTCCACATTTTTACTAGTCTTCTTCTCATAAGTGAAATCCTTTGATCATCAAGTGGAATGTTATATTGTGGCCTATAAAACAAGTGAGATAACTCGTCTTCGTGCGCCACTCCTAAAGAAAGAGTCATCATTTTCTTCAATTCCGCAAATATCAAATAAAAAGTATCAATAAAACTGCACATCTTTGTAATAAAATATTATTTCAAGTTATTTCACCATCTAAATTTTCAATGCCCTCAAACTTGTGTGCAGAATAAGGCGAATGGAATGAGTAACGATAGTAATAGATGGGATTTTGATTGGTCTCACTCATAAGTTTCTGTTTTCTATCGATTCCCGTTACAAAGTATAGGTTTGACAGTTCCTAAATAAAGTAACAATTGCTTTAGATTAGTTGATTATTGTGAAATACGCCAAAATACATTAATCGAATATCTCACGTTAATCAAGTTCATGAATACAATCTTTTCTACTTTTGCTAGACTTTTAGCTGGAAAAGATACGATTGTCATCATTGCTGGAATTGCGCTCAGAGGGATGACAGTATTTATAATCTTTGGCGCTAACAACGTGTAATTGATCAATTCGTCAGGAGCTGTAAACATTAATTCTTGTGATCATCGTTCATTAAATACTTACGTGTCAAAAAAAAAATCCATCAACCAACAATTGGCTAGAAATAATATCTCATTCAGTGTGAAACCCATCATGTGAGGCCCTTTGTTGTAATTCCCTTGTTTGTATTTTTTTGGAGTGCACTCGGTTAAAAATTTCGGCTCCTCCGGTGCAATTCTACTGTCTTCCAACGTAGGTCTAAATGGGATCTAAAAAACAATCATTGAATGACAAACTTGATGTATATAATTGCATTTGTAACGATGATTACCAATCCTAATTGGCTTGCTTGCTCGATGATTTTCGACGCGGGAGCATTTTTGAGGATTGCCAACAAGTTGTCCTTGTTGTTATCGAGGCCGGGGTTCAGCCTTTTGCCGAGCTGAAAGGCCCGTTCTTCTGCTTCGGCGTTACTTTGAAAAGCCCAGTAGATACAAAGAGGCGAAGCACTCATGGAAATCGACTGCCGAAACAACCCGGTGGACATGCTCGACAACACTTGCAAGTCGACGGAGACCCCTCCAGCTGATTGCCCAAGGATGGTCACTTTTTTACGATCACCTCCGAAATTTTCAATGTTTTGTTGAACCCACTTCAACCCTTCGTTTTGATCTTTGAGGCCGCAATTGCCTGTAGCTTGTGGGTGGTTGATGTTTAAAAATCCTGTTCAACGGATACAGTTTTAGTACTTCAATATGTTTAAAGGACCGTTTCTTTGATAAAACATATACCAAACGGGCCGAGGCGGTATTGAATAGACACGACTATGACATTGGTCTCGATGAGAAAATCAGGACCGTAGAATGTGCTTTTGCCGTTGCCAGTAGTAAAAGCCCCTCCGTGGATCCAAACAATAACTGGTTTTTTTTTTTCTTGTTTCTGCTTCTGGCCCCTTTTTGACTGCGACTGCGATATAATCATATTGTAATAAGAAAAAAGTAATAAAAATTACGTAAAGGTTTTTTTGTTTGTTTAATACTTGCTCTAATTACTGGTACGTAGACGTTTAGGTACAAGCAGTCTTCTGATCCTAAGACGATGTTATTATTTTTCCTATCCTGTTGGATACACGTGGGACCGTCTTTGAGGGCCAAAAATGTGCCATTCCAAGGTTTTTTCGGCTTGGGTGGCTAAAGATCAATACTTGTTTTTCAAACATTAATGAAGAATAATTACGTGTATAAAGTGCTTGCTCACCCTGAATCGCAACTCCCCTAGCGGTGGTTCGGCATACGGTATACCTCTAAAACTTTTGTACGTCATATTTCCCAATACTGTTTTCATGTATTGTCCAGCCACTTTGCCGCTATTCGTTTGCACTACTGGTAGTAACAGTTGTCCTTTTGCAAAAAGTGGAAAAATCAAAATGGTAAAAATCGAAAGAAACGTGGTGGTAGCCATGGTTTGTAGTGAAAAATCAAATAGTAATGCTCTTTTTGGCAAGGAATTACCGTACTTATAAATACAAATAATCTGGTTTTAGATTACAATATTGTGTGCACTCGTAAAAAAGGCAATATTATTGTTCAATCACGTTTCTCCGGAGCCATAAAATTTTATATTTCGCGTTGTAAAAGAAATCTTTTCTCAAACATTTTTTCCTCTAGCTGCAAAAAAAAAAAAAAAAAACTTCACTTTGTTCGAGCTCTTCAACTAACCTTTTCTAAAATAATCTTGGATAACTTATAACATCGTAAAGTGTGAACTGATATTGTGTTAAAATTTTTTTAATGAATTTCACGTTAAATAACGTGATGTGTTATTACGGATCACGTATACCTAAACAGCAAAAAATTCATGAATAATTCAATAGATGACCGGAACACTTGAATTAACTCTTTACATACTTAAAATTAACTAAGATATGAAAAAATGCAATGCTATTGTTTAATCACGTTTCTTCAACGTCATAAATTTTTTTTACTTCTTCACAACATGTTTTGATAAAAGTCTTCATCGTTTTTTTTTTTTTTTTTTTTTTTTTCTATTATAACAGACCAAGAAGTTATATTCATTTTTTTTTTAATGTATTACTTACTTTAATAAAATAATTGCGTTTAGAAAATCGTTTGAATTTGCATTTCATTTTTATTTTTGGTATAATGGTAAAGAGTAATAAAAACAGTTTGTGAAAAATAATTGAAAAAAAAAATTATCAATACAGTTTTTCCATCCATCATCATCCGATCACTGGAATTTTTTCTACTGTATCTGAAACAGTATCTACAATTTTGTCAACGGATTTTTCCGCGGCATCTGAAATTCCGTCCGTTACTTTGCCTACAGTGTCCTTGGCATCCGAAATTGCTTCTGCAGCCTTTCCGGGGATATTAGCTATGCCATTTATTATGTCGCTTAAGACACTTTTGTCACAGTCGTTGTAAATACTAGAATCACTGAAACCTAATTTTTGGTATACATCAGCGAGTGCACTTATTGGACGATGTCCTACGGCAACGAGTACCTATAACCAAATATGATACTAATTATAAGATTAAAATTCTAATTATAATGATAAAACAATGATGATACCTCATTGAGTTCCAAATGACTTCCATTGCTACCAGAGTCAGGCCACGTGACCTCCAACAACGTGTCTCTCTGAGCGTTTGGCGTAGGATTTCTATTTTCCCGAAGTAATTCATTATCAGTAATCCAACATGGTATTTTACATATTTATCTGTGGAAATACTAACCCATACTTGGCGAAATTCGTGAACAATTTTACAAGTTTTTCCCTCATAGTTGTAATTCTTGGACTGAAGATATCAATGTCCAAATGAGGCCTGTAAAAAATGTGAGGCAATTCATCTTCGTGCGCAACTCCTATATGAAAAAAAAAAAAAGTAAAAATAATATACAACACGCAATACACGAATTTATAATTTTAAGATATTGGCGCGTTTACCATCCAAATTTTTAATGCCTGCAGATTTATGAGCGGATTGCGACGATTTGAAAAGATAATGGTAATAGTATATTGGAGCGTTGTTGTGTTTGTAAAGCAATTTTTGTTTCATATCGATCCCCGATACAAAATAAATGTCCGATAAGTCCTGAAAAAAAGAAAATCGTACATGCAAATCTAGTTCCATAATATTTAAAAAAAAATTTTTTTCTCTTTACATACATACCTCAATTAATTCAGAGAAAGCTGCTTCTTTTAATTCTGCGATTCCTTCAAACGGTATGGATATGATTTTTGACACGATCGGAATGGCTTTCAGTAAAGTATTATTGTTAATTGATTTCACGGCATCTTTGTAATATTGTATCAAATCATCCAAACCTGAAGCAGATGGTTTGTAATATCTACTGTTATTATATAATCTTGTGCAAACAAAAGTGTTTATCAACAGCTGCACTTACTTTTAGCTAGAAACAATATTTCGTTTGATGTGAAACCCATCATATGAGGGCCTTTGTTGTAACGTCCTTCGTGGTACAATTTTGGCGTGCACTCAGTTAAAAACTTTGGTTCGTCCGGAGCAACATCGGCCCGCTCCAACGTTGGCCTAAAGGGAATCTACGCATTTGAAAAGGAACAAATCAATTTACAATTTTGTGGAAAATTCAATAAGTATAAATTAATGTTACCCCTGGTAGTTCGCCAGCTTTTTTGATGATTTCACCGGCTGTGGCGTTTTTCAGAAAATTTAACAATTCCTCTTCGTTGTCTGTCTTTAAGCCGAGATTAGAGCCCAGCAGGAACGCTTGCGTACGTGCTTCGACATTGCTTTGGAACGCCCAGTACGTGCAAAGAGGAGATGCGCTCATGGAAATTGTGTGCTGGAACAAACCAGCTGACATATTCGACAACTTATGGAGATCCACCGCCACACCACCCGCACTTTGGCCCATCAGTGTCACTTTTTTCGGGTCACCTCCGAAATTGCGGATGTTCCTCTGGATCCACTTCAAAGNTAGTTTAAATATTTTAAATCATTAAATAAAAAATTTAAAAAAAACACGATAATTGCAACCGTACGAAGGTCGTTTTCTAAAAATTAAAATAGATTGACATAATAAAAATATTTCCGGCACTAAATACAGTTGGCTAAATAATTGAATTTTTTATTCGTAATCCGCTTACGTACGTTGTTCAAATGCACTACCCAAATATGTTTGTTCTGACATTTGAAATCAAATTGCCAGGAACGTTAATCGCTCTATTTACTACGTTGTTTAGTAGACCTCTTCGGCAGTCGTTAAATATTGATGATTCCCCTAAACCAATCGTCTCGAACAACCTCACTTGGGCATTGGTCGGCCGATCACCGACTTCAAGCTTGTCATCTAAATTGTTTGATCATTAGTTTTTTTTTACATTAATTTAATTACGTTGTAAATTTTTTTATTACTTAATGAAACAGAGGAGTTTTGGAAAAAATTTTTTTTTTTAATATTGAAAACGACGTTCTTGCATATTATAAAATTACCAATAAGAACGAAAAGTCATGTTCAATTTTATTATGCAACGTACTGATCGCAACGGTAAACAAAAAACACTTGCGCAGTCGAGTTGATAATATTTTTAAATTTTATTTACATCAGTAACAATTTTTACAATAATAATAACGTAAAAGTTTTACATATTTTTAATATCACAAAACATCTTGCTCCGCGTCAAATGTATTTTGTATAGTATCATTCACATTTGCGATGTCACATTGCGCTCCTGCTTAGCTTTGCCTACAGCCAAGTTTTAAGAGACAACAATTTTGCTTACGGATAGTGACATTATTAACGCCACAGTCATTAAATCATCACACGGTGGCAGTTGTCTTAAGCTATCCAAAGTATTTTTTGAAGTGAGAAATGATTTCTACAACAGCGACAGGAATGTTCATGACTCCGCTAATGATGTCGCTCACCACACTTTGATTGCAGTTTTTGTAAATATTCGAGTCACCGAAATTTAATTTTTGATACAGAGTTATCAAAGGATTGGTCCGACGAGTTTTGACGATTGTGAGATTGCCGTTGATTTCTAAATGAGCTCCATCCTTGCCCGAGTCTGGCCACGTCACCCCATCCAATCGTCCATCTTCGGCACCGAATGGAGTCGGATCCCTTAAATTACATACATTGTTGTACCTTGATTTATTCATCGTATGTATACCGAATCGATTGAATTCAGATGAAAAGCCTTACCCGTATCTCGCGAAATTCGTCCACATTCGAACGAGTCTATCTCTATTGCGGGCAATTTCAGGATCACGGAAAGACATCTTCAAGTGCGGGCGATGAAATATGTATGGCAGTTCGTCCTCGTGTGCTACGCCTGTCGAAAAACTATGGTTTCAAGATTTTTCGTAGCCAATGAGTGGGGGAAAATAAATTTTTTAGCATGACTTTCACCATCGAGTATCGTAATTCCCTCGGATTTGTGAGCCGATTCCGGTGATTTGAAGTCGTAGCGGTAATAATACACTGGCGCTTCATTCGTTTTAGCTAGTAATTGCTGCGTCATATCGATCCCCGACACAAAATAAACATCAGACAATCGCTGAAAAGTAAATTGAAAGAACAGGTTTTGTTTAAAAACGTAAGGTGAACGATTTTTATTGCCCAAGGTACGGTTCAACGTTTCCAGTGAGTTTCGTCATAAACGTATCCAAATCCCTGTGCACGCCTGCTCGTTTTATTGAGTTAAAAATTTACCTTTATCAGATTGGAGAAGGCTTTTCTTTTTAACGTTGCTATTGCCTCAAACTTTATGGCCAAGATCTCCGACGTGGTTGGGAAAATTTTTGCGATTTTGTACCGTTTGATGGACTGCGCTGCTCCCTTGTGCCATTTAATTAAATCGTCGAGAGCTCAAAAAAAAACAAAACAAAAAAAACAATTAATACTTTTCTTTTCATCGTGTACTAAGGTACTATTACTGGGAACTCACTACTTGACATTGACAATATTTCAGCGGAGGTGTAACCCATCATGTGGGGGCCCTTATTGTAATTGCCGTCATAGTATTTTTTCGGTGGACACACGGTTATGAATTTCGGCTCCTCGGGTGCAACATCGGCTCGCTCCAACGTGGGTCTGAAAGGAATCTGAACATAAAATAAAATAGAGTAAATTTAATTTCAAATCAATGCGAAAAAAAGCTAAATTCATACGAAACAAGGGGTACCATGGGCAATTCGCTGGATTTCTGAATTATTTCTTCCGCGGGTACTTCTAAAAGCTTTTTCACCAAAGCATCCGCGTCTCTGCTTTTCACTCCAAATTTAGATCCAAGGGAATAGGCTTGTTCTTCTGCTTCCTCGTAACTTTGGAACGCCCAGTACGTGCAAAGAGGAGATGCGCTCATGGAAATTGTGTGCTGGAACAAACCAGCTGACATGTTTGACAACTTATGGAGATC